CAGAGCACACTGTTAAATCCGCTTCAGAAAGTGACGAGGACAAACCCATGAGGCGGAGAGCCGGCCCCCTGCCACGGCCATGCTGTTGGTACCCAAATGCTCCGGGAGGATTTTTTTTTTTTTGTCTGCAATTAGGGTGCTAGAACCTTCCCTCTTCAGTGGTGGGGGTTCTTGTTAACGGCTGTGAATGGTGCCAACTCTGTAATCAACAGGCACCTAACGTGAAATGAGCGATCCCTTTGCAAAGCAACTGTGCAAGGACCCATATGTGGTCTTTATGATGGGAAGTGACAGGCAGGCAGGACACCTGAGTTACCCAGAGCAGAACAGGGAACCAACACTTTGTGAGCATCTACCAGGAGCCAGGAACTCCTCAGCTCACTAAATCCTTACGGCTACCTCACCACTTTACAGAGAAAGAAACTGAGGTTCAGAGAGGCTCAGTAATTTTCTCATGGTCACAGAGATGCAAGTTGTACTGAGTATGCCTTAATGACAAGTCTTTTCACTAAATGCTTTGCCCAGAGTTTCATCAGAAGGTGGAAGGTAGGTCAAATAAGTGTTTAAACACCATATTAGAGAAAGTTAATTTCTTAAAGGACTTCTTGGAGCTCTGATATACTAGTGATCACTGTGAAACTCCAAGAGGGCTTCTATGTTAAACAGTAGTTACCAAACTTACTTGGCCACAGCTTGGTGTCTAGCCTAACTGGTGTTCCAAGGAACATGCTTTTGGGATCGATGCCCATTCAGCCTCTAGAAAACTAAAAGCCAGGACTCCGGATTCGGCAGCATTGATTTCAATCCTGATTCTGCCTCTCACTAGCTGGGTGATCTTGGGCAAGTTCCTCGACCTCTCTGTGCTCAAGTTTCCTCATTCATAAATCAGACAGGCAGTGATTCCTTCATTCCACAACCATTTATCGAGGCTGACCCCAACAGTAACTGTTCTAGACACTGAGGACTATGACAGTGCTCACCTCAGAGGAAGCGACAGACAGGTGTGTATTCCAGGGGTCAGTACACTTTTTCTATAGGCGGACAGATAATCAATATTTCAGGCTCTGTGGGCTGTACGGTCGCTGTCGCGATGACCCCGCTCTGCTGTTGCAGAGGGAAAGCAGCCACACACAATAAACGAATGACTGGGCACAGCTGTGGGCTGATAAAGCTTTACTGACAGACACTGAAATTCGAATTTCACCTAATTTTTGCATGTCACAAATACTGTTCTGAAAAAACCATTCTTACCTCCTGGGCTGTACAAAAACAGGCAGAGGAGAAGGAGGTGGCCCTGGGAGCTGCAGTTTCCCCACCTCAGCCGTAATCAAGTGTTCCTGCAAGGATGACAGGAGATAATACACGTAAGGCGCTAAAAACAGTACCAGTGACAGCTGCTGTTCTTGCTACTCGAATCCATTTTGCTAGGATGGTGCCCCTTTATGTTGAGTAGAACAGGTTTACAGAGTCGGAATGAAATAGGAACTGTCCTAAGGCTGGGGACATAAACAAGGTCCTAGAGTGAACTGTCATTCCCACCACCTCCCAGTCACATGGGTCTCTATTCCCAGTTCATCCAGTTCTCCAGGAGAGGGGTGAGCCCGGCTAGGTGCTGGCAGCCCCGCCTCTGCTCAGCAGCCCCCCAAAGTGGTCCCCATCTATTCCTAGCCTCACAGGTGAGCTGGTCCACGTGTGTCCACCACGAACAGCACGATGAATGGGAGATGCTGCGATCCTCCCTCGTGTTAGCCCGTTGGTCTGCTGCCTTCGTCTGCACCATCAGGATGATCTTTCAAGCAGGAGTTGCTGGAAACTTTATGGTGTAATTTATTGGAGGGTCTTGCCTGGAGGGGAACACCGCAAATTCACATATTTTACACTCTGGCAAGTTGTTAATGATTCTAGGCAATGAGATAACTCTACTGTAGACTTCTCCAAACGGGTATAAATTCCTTTAAATGAGAAGAGGTAAAGAATACAGTTAAATATATCTATCTGCCTCTCCCATACATGGAGCTCCCCACGTTCTGGGGCCGCTGTGAACGCTGAACTACTCAGGCTGACACAACGGTTCTTATCTAGAATTCACACTCCACGAGAGTATGTGTGGCTGATCTAGTGGTTTGTAGCTGAAACCTCCCTGTGCTAGGAACTTGTGACGTTTACGCATGAATGGAAAGTCCTATTCTC